ATGAAGAAGAGGAAGAAGAAGAAGAAGAAGAAGAAGAAGAAGAAGAAGAGTTAAAGAAAATGAAAAAAGAACCTACCAACAGAACCCATATCTTCGGACCGCAACTGCAACTTCCTTGTTAATGCCACGTCAGTGCTGCCACGTCACCGCTGCCACCTCAGCGTTGCATCGTCACTGCTGCCACGTCACCGTTGCCACACGAATGCCACGTCACCGCTGCCACAGAAGCTATGGCTTCTCTCTCTCTCTCTCTCTCTCTCTCTCTCTCTCTCTCTCTTTCTCTCTCTCTTTCGCTCGTCGTTGTCGTCAGCGGCCAGCTATGGGCGACCTCCTCTCTCTCTCTCTCTCTCTCTCTCTCTCTCTCTCTCTCTCTCTCTCTCTCTCCCGAATATGGCCGACGTCCTCTCTCTCTCTCTGTCGGATATGGTCTCTGTCTCTCTCGCTCTCCCTCGTCTGTTGGATATGGTCTCTGTCTCTCTCGCTCTCTCTCGCTGAGATTGCTCAAGCTCAACCGCTTCAACATGCAACCTACCCCCTCGTCCTGAGTATATATGGCGAAGAGAGCGGGTAACGGACCTAGGAGGCGGATTGAGTGATGGAGAGAGAGAGAGAGAGAGAAAGAGAGGGGACGCCATGTTGCGTACCTGAATCAAGCCTCCACCTTTGCGCAGGTTAGTATCTGGTACACATATCTGGTACAGAGAGAGAGAGAGAGAGAGAGAGAGAGAGAGAGAGAGAGAGAGAGAGAGAGAGAGACAAAGAGACGGAGAGAGAGAGAGAGAGAGGGAGAGAGAGAGAGAGAGCGAGAGTGAGGGAGGCCGTATCGCGTACCTGAATAAAGTCAAGCCTCCACCTTTGCGCAGGTTCTGCTTTTTTTCTTTTTTTTTTTCCCTTTTGTTTGTTTGAAGACATGCACCGCTGCTGCGCGCCATAGCAACGCGGTGCATCACTGTCTCGTCGGCTCTTGCCACTCGCGATGGCAGAGTCTTGGTTCCACTCTCCCTCTACCACACTTACACCCGCACACACACACACACACTCTTAGCCTCACTCTCTCTCCCACCCACGCAGACACACACACACACACACAAACACACACACTCTCCCACCCACGCATGCACACACACACACACACAAACTCTTTCCCCCTGTTCTCTCTGACACACACGCACACACATAGACACATGGGCAAATTTCGTCCCATCTGTCTCTGTCTTTGTGTGTGTGTCTGTGTCTGTGTGTGCGTGTGTGCGTGTGTCTGTAACGGACAGACAGAGTATCTCACTCCACTACACAACACGGTACATGCATCTGGACGCTATCTGGACCAGGTGCGTCGGGATGAATCCAACACTCCTGATGCATCCGGTCTACAATGCGTCCGAACGCACATACAATGTTGTGTAGTGGAGCGAGGCCCAAAGACACAGAGAGAGAGACAAACAGAGAGAGAGACAAACAGAGAGAGAGAGAGAGGGAGAGAGAGAAATAGGGGGGGAGAGAGAGATTGAGAGAGAGAGAGACAGAAAGAAGGCATCGCCACACCACACCCGAAATGTGCAAAAAGCAGTATGAACTTCCCTGTAGAACATGGCCAAATGCGCCCGCCACATTTTCACATTTTGCGTATCGTGTGGCGATGCGCTCTTTCTTGTCATTTTCACATTTTGCGTATCGTGTGGCGATGCGCTCTTTCTTGTCATTT